CACCATCTCCCTGAGCACCGCTAACCGCTGCTCCCACTTCAGATCTCACCCTGAAAGAGAACTGCTAAGAAAAAGAAATCTTTCCCTGTTAAAGAGTCATAGACCTGGAAATGTAAAGTAAATAATAAGTTTGCATCCTTAATAAGTGTATCTAAATAAGGTCTGGCAGCCTGCGAGGCTGATTGAGCTTCCAGGCCATCCTGGAAGATCTGTATCCGTCCCCTTTTCCTGTGTCAAGAATTTGTATGTTAACTAACCAGCTTTATCAATGTAAAGTGGTTGTGTATAAAAGAAACCCTTTTATACAGACCTTATGGGACTACCCAGGTCTGAGACCTCATGCATGAGTAATAAAGCTTTCCTGACCTCACCATTCCTAAAGTACCGCTTGTTCTTCCCCTGCCTGGGTAAAAGGCTAGAATTTATTTCTGCAACAACCCTAGAGAGAGGTCTACCCCGACACCCTAGTTTTAATACTGCTGCCCCACAAGCTAGCACTATTCCTTACATCCTTCATAGCGCTCACCGCGGGGCTTTGGGTGTCTCAAGTTGAAGAGCAGAGACCCTGTTTTGTAATCACAAAACTCCAGCACCTAGAACGGCCACCTGGTAGGTAGCCAGTAAATGTTTGCTGAATGAATTTCAGAATATCCCCCAGTGCAGTCTGCACCTTGTGATGCTTTTCTATTTCACTGCAAGGTGATGACCAGTTACAGGCACTTGGGGGTGTATTAATCATTTAGCCCACATTTGAGTCCATGCAAACACCAGTAGTTTCGCAGCCATGGCCTCTAGGGCTATAGTCAGAAATGTTATTTTGACTATTTCCTCCCTGCCCCTTCTTTTTATTGAGGTAACACTAGTTTACAACACTATAGCTTTGTACACTTTCGCACCGCAGCAACTGTATATATCACCCCACGCCCAGCACCACGTGTGTGTCCAAGCTCCCTGCACCACAAGCCAGCTCCCCCTCTTCAAACTCCCTCCCCTTCCTTTGCTTTGCTACCCCGCCCTTCTGTGGTCAGAGTCTGAGGGTTTGTTTTTACTTTGGTTCTTCCATTGGTGTCCCCCCCCCCCCTTATATTCCACCAATGAGTGAAATCACATGGTATATTTTTGCCTGGTTTATTTCCACTTAGCATAATCCTCTCAGGGTCCATTCATGGCATCTCAAAAAAGGTTCCATCTTTTTTTTCTGCCCCAGTTGTGTTCTGCTTGTTTATATATCACATGGTAACCATCCATTCCCTGGGTGGTTTCCCTGTCTTGGCTCTTGTGAACAGTGCTGCAGTGAGCATAGGGGTGCATATATCTTTTCAAATTAGTGTTTCCATATTCTTCAGGTAAATACCCAGAAGTGGGATTACCGGATCATATGGTAGTTCTATTTTTAAGTTTTTAAGAAACTCTATACTGGTTTCCATAGTGACTGCACCAATTTACATTCCCACCGACTGTGCAATTGGGTTTCTATTTTTCTCTACTCTGCTAGCCCTGGACTTTTTGATAACCCTAACTCTAACCCTAACTTTTTTTGATAATCGCCATTCTAATCTGTGTGAGGTGTAACACTGAGGCTTTGACATGCATTTCGCTAATGAAATGCCTGTTGGCCATCCGTGTGTCTTCGGGGAAATATCTCTTGGCTGCTTTTGATCATAGCTAAGACTTATTCTGTCCCTGACTGGTGGCTTCTATTAGGTAAAAAAAAAAAAGTTACATTTTATGAAAAAATGCAGTGATGCAGATAATTTTCAGTTTTTAGTTAGCTTTCAAATACCTTATGCAAATTTTTTGGCATGCGATTTAGCCTTCTGTTATGTTTCAGCTACTATTAAAATAATCTTTCTGACCATAAATTGGTTGACCTTTAAGGAGGTAGTGGAAAATGTGCTGGATGTTGTGAGCAAGCCATCTAGAAGTAAGATGGTTTCCGGGTGTCCTTGTGGTGTGTTTCACCCTGATCAGGGCTGGCACTTTCTGGAATCTCCCCATGTTCATCAAACACCTTTGTTCCAGGGACTGAGAACCAGTTAATGGAATGGAACTGTTGCCTTTTTAGTGCCTAGACTGTCTGGTACCTTTTTTGAAGCCATTGTTTAAAATCCGTATGAAAGGATTGATTCACTTTTAGTGTTTTCTTGTCACCCCTTTTTTGATTGGATAGCATCCCTAATGATTCATCTTGCTGGCTGTCTCCCTCCCTTTCTTTATTGCTAATTATTACTTCTGCCTGAGGCAAGCTATTTGAAGAGTTCATCAATTTCCCCCGATTCCTTTATTATGGGTCAGCTGAGAATGTCTGGGAAAAAAAACGAAACTGTTATCCCGTAACACCTTAAAGAGGACAGGGTGTGTAATGGTTTGCGTTAGGAGTACCTGGCTGAGGGTAAGATGATGCTGACAGATCAGAGAAAACCCAAAAAGTAAGCACAGAAAGAGAACAGTTTCTTAATATCAAGAACGCTGTGGACCCTTTATCTGCTGTTAAATTGAGCATGACTTTCAAGCCATGCCTCCTAATTAATTTAATTCAGTGTTTTGGCATCAATAAGTAATTGAATTATAAAAGAATTCATTGTAACAACTTAGGACATGTTGTTGCTGAAAGGTTCATTGGAGAATAGAGCAATTTAGTGATTGAAGTGGGAGTGTTTGATGTTCACAACTAAGAAATAAGGATAAGGTGAGGACTTTAACAGGCCACAATAAATACACAGTGACTGCTGGCTTCTACTCTCAAGGTCACTGTGAGCATAGGTTGGCGAATGTAAACTTGACATTCTGGACATCAGCTCCTTCCTGGCCTTCCCCAAACAAAGAAGCTTCTTCCCGTTGTCCCTGGAGTCAGGAGAACATTGTGGTGAGATTGCACTTTGGTGATGAGATGGCCCAGGGAGGCTCAGGCTGCTCACCCAAATGTCAGCATGAAGGCCATGAATAACTGGATTATTCCAGTTAGCTGGGTTATTTTGTGCTGAGAATTTCTGTACATTTTGTTCTCCTTGTAATGGTAGCAAGTTCACAGTAAGAGACATCATGGGCAGTTGTCTTTTATGGGTACAACTTATATAAGCTCCAACCCCCAACCCTGGTAGATCAAATAAGGGGTATCCATGCAGTATAGTTAGTCCAGGTGCCAAGGTGAACAGCGTCATCTACCATGTACCTGCTACTTTAAGTGCATCTTGCTTGATGACAGGTATTCTCAGCTCTCAGCTTTATTTTGCAGAGAAGATAGTGGATGCCCAGGCTGGTCAAGTAGCCGGCAGGCTCCCGAGTGTAGGAACCCTCTTGCATGTTTCGCTCCTTAACAGAGATGGGGCTACTTCATCAGGAGAGCAGCTCTTAGAAGCCAGGATTAAAGCTTGTCCAGAAAGAAAGCCAAAATGAGCACCCAGCAAAACAGACATGCCCAGGAGCCAACTTAACCTTCATAATATCTGAGTGTGTGTGCACCTGGGAGGTAGATGTGATTGGTGTTGTTTTAAATCTTTGTTTCCTGTTGAGGAAATTGAGGGTCACAGAGATTTTAGGGCTTTAGTTGATGCTCCTTTTATGTGGAGTTGTATTTCTGGAAATTATCTCACAGATCAAAAAGTAGTAAGATGGTAGGTGGGTAAGACCCAATATCATATACTACATTTGCTGAGTGGCTTGAGAGGGGAATTTTGTATTCTGCTGACACTAATGTTCAGATGGGATTGGGCCCTCTTGCAAAATGAATCATGACTGTCACCACTGACCCCTCTGAATCTGCTCAGCTATGTCTGCTAGTGATTGTCAGTGCCGAGCCCACCTCTGTAAAACCAATTCAGCCTTGAACTTCACTTCTAAAGGCTGGGATTGCCACTTTTAGCTTCCCTTAATTTTAGTTTTTTTTTTTTTTTTTCCTCTTCTAACCACATTTTAATCATAAAAATCTAGCCGTAACAGAGAGGCAAGCTCTAGTGTCTGCATACATGTGGTGAGTTGCCTGGGAGCAAGAAGAAAATCTATGCACTGAACTCTGAGGAGGTTTGCAGAGATTCTTGGTAGGTTCCGTGAGGACTCTTACTCTGAGCCTATATAAAAATGACGAAAGAAAAAATATATATGGAAAGTCAGTTGCATTAAATGATTTCATTTTTTCATTTTTATTTTTTTAGATTTATTTTTATTTATACATACAAGTACCAGAGTATAGGCCAGAAGTGCAGGGGGTGAGACAGAGTGGGGACCAGAAAAGGTGGGTCTACTGAAATACACTGCTGAGGGGAGCAGCGGGCGAGACAGGAGAGCTCTGCTGTGCCATGTGGATCACCTCCCTGGCCGGGATCAGAACTCTTGCTGCAGTGGCTGCCCACAGCTTGATAGCACTGAGACTTTAACCCCTGTGCCACCAGGGAGGCCCTATAATTGATCTCTTAATGAACTCTAAATGAATCTTCAAGACCTCATTCTCAAATTTTGTTTGTATTTTAGTATCTTCTATTTTGGGACAGTAATTGAATTTGTATAGTGTGCAACTATAAGGTGAAACTTTAAAAATAACTGTGGAATTAGGGGCTCATTTCTCTAGTTTGATTTCTCTAGTTTGTTATTTGGAGTATGGATGGAATATAGTTTCATGTGTTTGTAAGGAAGAATCAAGTTTGAAACCTATTACAGTTTGTGTTTTGGTTGTGAAACTTACCAGTTTCATTGATAAAGCAGAGTAACTTACTAAACTGGACAAAACAACTAGGGCCTTTTGAAAACAAAACAATAGGATGCCCTCCCTGTAGATGAGCATGTAGGAGCTCCTTACTGCCATTATCAGGAATATGTGTATGAGACCAGAGCTGCATCTTAGTAATGTCTTTAGAATTTTTGAAGACAGTCCTGGAATTTTGGAAAATCTTATTTTTCTAGGGCAGGCTTAAGCTTTCTAGGACATAGACATTATTAAGAATGAGAAATTTGTGAGTTAAACTTAATAAGCAGAGTTTGGGGGAGGGCAAGGCGGGGCAGATTCCCATTACCCTTAGACCACTTATTTTTCCATTAACTGTTCTGATTCTACACTGTGCATCTTAAAGCAGATAGTAGCAGTTTTTTTGTTCTTCTTTTTTCATTGGAAAGAAAGTGCATGTGCTTGGTATGAAAAATTCTGAGGTGAAAGGGAGCCAATTTAATCGCATGTATAAACGAAGGCAGATGAGAAACGGTAGGGTAATATACATACTTCTATGGTTCTAGGAGAAAAAGAGTTTTTAAAAGAATGTGCAGTTTTATTACCACATGAAGTATCAGCAGAATGGGCTTTGTTATCAGGCTTTTCTTTCTTGCACAAGTGGTATCACTTTGTGTGGTTGTAGTTTGCAACTTCAGTGTGCATGTGTGTGGGTGGGAGCAGGGCACCACCCCCAAGACCTAAACTAGCCAGGCTCTTAATCCTTTCCAATTCTTAAAGGAGTTAAAACAGGTTTTCTTCTAAATGTGTAATTAATAATAGCACAATTGTGTAAGGCAAAAGTCAGGATTTTCTCCCCTTGCTTTTCTAGAGAGTGTCCCTCCAAGTCAGAGGGCAGAGATGTTTCCAAACCAACCTCATCTTGCTATTGAGGACCAGAAATCACAGAGAACACTGGACATTGGTTAGGGTTTGAGTGGCCAGCTCACTCACCTTTGGAGACTTCTCCCCAGGCCGTTGTTCCATCCTCTACCCGGGGAGGAATAGGTGGGTGTGTATATGGCAGAAGTTGGCGAACACTGAGTTTCGGGGTTTGGATCACATGAATTCTTGCTTGAGGGAGAGAGCTTGCTTTGGGGGCACAGACACTGTAGTAGTGTCCTGTGGCTCTGTGACAAAATGCCAAATGTGGTGGCTTAAAATAACATGTTTTTATTCTTTTATAGTTCTGGAGGTCGTTGGAAACCTGAAATCTGTTTTAGGTGCCGAAATCGCATCGTCAGCAGAGAACGATCCCTTTGGGTGCCCACGGGAGAATCCATTCTCTTGCCTTCCCCAGTTTCTAGAACTGCATTCCTTGCAGCCCTGTGCTCAAGGTTCTTCTCCATCTTCAAAGTCGGTGTGTGGCATCTTGCTTCACGTATTCCTTTGCCTTCTTCTATAACAAACTCCCCCTGTGCCTCTCTCTCAGAGGGGCACTTGTGATTACACTGAGGTCTGAACTGGGTAATTCAGGCTAACTGCCCCATTTCAGGGTTCTTAACTGAATGGCATCCTCAGAGGCCTATTCTCATCTAAAATCACATCCACAGGTTCTCAGCCCTGGGGCTTAGACATCTTTAGACCATTATTTAGGCTACCACAGGTACCAAGGGTTTTTGTACTTGTGACACCCTTGATTACAAACTAGTACATCATTGTCAGAGTTGATAGCTGTAAAATTTAAAAGTTTCTTGTAACCTGTTGTTTTTCTCATTGTTGTCTAAAAAAGAGTAGACATATTCCAGAGCTGAAGAAAATAGTTAATTCCACCACAATAATTCTGGGTATGAATAGTCTACAAAAAAGAAGTACCATAGAAATAATTAGAAAGGGGGTCTCCCTGGTGGCACAAGGGATTAAGTCTCAACATTTGAAACTATTGGCAGCTACTGCAGCACGAGTTCTATCCCTAGCCAGGGAGCTGACCCACATGGCACAGCAGACCTCTCCTGTCTCGCCTGCTGCTCCCCGCAGTGGTGTATTTCAGTCAGTCTGCCTGTTCTGCTCCCCACTCTGTCTCTGGTGAATCCTCTTGCCTACTGCACCTCTGGCCTTTACCCCAGTTCTTATATGCATAAATAAATAAATCTTTTAAAAAAAGGTAATAATTAGAAAGGCCTTAGAGAAGTGTTTTGGAGGTTGCACAGAAATCCCTGTAGGCAGAAAGTAGAATGAAGGATCTCATTGGCAGTTAGGATAGCAAGAGCAAGGCCCAGAGATCAGAAGCCAGAGATGGTATTCAGGGCATGGCATGGTTGGATAGCTGGAGGGAGGAGAGATGGTGGTGTGGTGGACTACTCAGGCTGCTTGGTTGAGGACCTTGTCATTTGCTTATCAGCCTGGTAGTGGCCCAGGGTAATGTGTAGGGTGAATGAGTTAAAAATCAGGCTTTTTTATGCCCACCACCACTAGCCTTTATGGCTGGCATCTGCAGTCTGGCATGCTTCCCATAGTTATGGGCAGTCTGAGCCCAAAGAGCACAGGTGTGCTCATGTGTAAATGTGGACACCTGTGTGTGCTGAAGGCAGGGATAAAAGGGTGGCGTCACTCTGAGGCAAGGAGGGGCTCAAGTTGTGTCTCCTTGCCTGGACTGTTTGCCTGATTCAGTGTCAAAAGCCTGTAAAATCCACAAAAGACTCCAACATTCTCTTTAGCTCTGCAAGAACTGATGTGTGATGTGGGGAGAGGCAGGTAGTAAAGAGATCAACACCGCAGAAACCATAGAAAGTAATTAGGAGGGTGGTGGTATGAAATGATAGGAGAGGGATTCTGGAGAATTTGTGGTGGAACTTTGGCAGTTGAAGATTAGTTTGAAGCAGAGAGGAGAAGAAAAGAGTCAAGGTGACTTTAAGATTTTACACCTGGATAATGAACTAGAAGTTTTTCACAGAATTGTGCTTTAAAGAATGTCTGTGCATCGAGGGGGTTAGGAGAAGACAAAGTCATAAAAGAATGATGATAATTGAATGCCTTTATTGAAATTCTTGCTCCTTTTTTGATGAACATTGAAGAGGAAACTATAGCTTATGATGAGAAGGTGACTTTGTACAGATTTAAACTTAAATTTTTAATGTAATCTTTGGTTTGCTTGACCCATTTTATTTGTTCATTATGCCTTGTTGTCTCTGAAATGTACGCATTTTCCAACATTTGTTATATTTGTGAGAAGACTAAAAGTTTGTATAATACTTGACAAAAGAATTAAAATAGTTCTCTCATGGAAGGAAGGAAGGAAGGAAGGAAGGAAGGAAGGAAGGAAGGAAGGAAGGATGGAAGGAAGGAAAAGAATGGTGAGTGATATAGGAAAAAAAATCCCAGGACAATGGGCTGCCTGGGAGGTCAGGAAAGATAGAATTTCGAGATTGGTTCAGTAGTCTTGGGTACTGTGGAAGGTTAGGGCAGGATACAGGAATGAACATGTTTGGGTCACCCTCAGCTTGATGATTTGCTTAGAATGCACAGGAATCAGAAAAACTGGTATTCTTGTGGCCGTAGTTTATTACAAAAGGACACTTGAAATCAGCAAAGAAAAGATGAGGGGAGTAAAGCCCAAGAGAAACAGGTGCAGGCTTTCTAGTGTCTGTTTGCAGGGTCGTCGCAAATATGCCTAATTCTCTCAACTCCATGTGTGTTAACACGTGAGAGGTGTTAGCAACAAGAGAAGTCCACTGGGACCCTAGTATCCAGAGTTGTTATTGAGGGGTCAGTCACAAAGACATGCAGCGCCTGCATGAATGACCTCAGCTCCTCAGCCCCCAGAGTAAGAAGATTCAACTTGGTATACGCTGTTTGATCAAACTGGTACTCTGTGGCCCAAGGTCTGGGGCATAGGACAAAAATTACCAGGCAGAATATCCCAAGGGTTCAGATCTCATCTCTCAGGAACCAGCCAAGGGCCAGTCCTGAAGTTAGGCCTTTGGAGGGAGTGTGCAGGAGTTGAGTCACCCAGGCCTGCTGACTTAACAGTATTCTTGCTCAGAGGCTGTGCAGAGATCCCTGGGAATGTTTGAGGAGCTTAAGCCACAGGTAATGGCAGAAGAAGCCAGAGTGCATGTAGTTATAGGGAATCTACTCTATAAAAGTGATACAGGTGGTGAGAATCATATTTCAGGAAGATTGAAAATGTGGCTTCAGAGAATGAGTAGTTAACTTTTTTAAAGCAAGAAGACAAATCTTTTGAAAGTAGCAGAGAAGCAGATGTTGGAGGGATAGAAAATGCAAGCACAAGAGAAGTGATAATGATTGGGACCATGTCCTGCAGATGGCAGGGGTTGTTGTGAAAGGGAAGGAGGTACTCTCTCAGGGAGAGAGTGAAAAGAAAAGAGCGAGATGGTGAGAAAACACGCATATATTACTGGGTGGTCAAGCAGCGTCTGAGCAGCAGTGATGGCAGAGTCAGCCGGTCAGTGAGCCCAAGTGGATAAGGAGAATTTACTGCTAACTGCACAGCAGGCAGCTTATGCTTCACGTTCACATTGGTACCCCTTGTCCCCTAAATCACAAGGGGCTGTTGTGGAGGTGAGCCCACGGGGATACCGAGCACACAGTGGGTCTTCTTCACATCTGAGGAATGCCAGGCTTAGCATCCACCCAATTTTATAAGGGGTTGTTAAGAGTCCTGCCCAACCTTTGTCCTAAAGGGGTATGTTATCTTAATTCCAGGTTTCCTCTGCTATCTGAAAGTGTTCCTATGAAATCTTTCCAAAGTTGAGGTGTAAAGTGAAGAAACAATTGCCAGAATGTATATGAAAAAATTTTTCAGCATTCCCAGACCTCCAAAATAACCTGCCAAATCACAGTAAAATCTAAAATAACACTAGTATATCGTCAAAGCTGGAGTCTGATGAACATACAACCTGTGGAAAGGAGTTGCTGGGGAGGGGTGCTGCTCTCTGCTCGGGTGAGCGCTGCTTTTGGAGCAGCTGCTGCAAAGCCAATGCCAGTGCTATTTTAGCCTTTTGTCATGAAAGTGAAAATCCTCAGATTTCTTTTGGTTATGGAAAACACGTACTAATGTAGATTTTTCATAAAAGTAGGTGGGTTAATGCAAACTTTTGAAACCAGTGGTTTGGAAACACATCTGTCCTTTGACTGTTAGGAGTGCCATGTAAACGTCTGTTAACAGAGCTACCCATGCCTTTATCTCAGGAGATATTCAGAAGTGCTGTTCTTGTGGAGAATTACCTCCATGGAGGTGATGTGACTATAAAATACAATGTTTGTATAATCATGTGTATGTTTGTAAATAGCTTATACCTATATACACATAGATATACACAAGTGTATGTATATATAAATAGATGTGTGTACATGTGTATGTGTGTATTTTCTCTCTCTCCTGTGGGAAGAAGATAAGCTACAGTCCGGAGAAAAATATCTGCAAATCATATACCTGATAAAACAACTTGTATCCATGGCCTCCCTGGTGGTGCAGAGGTTAAGTCACAGTGTTATCAAGCTAGTACCAGCCACTGCAGCATGAGTTCGATTCCCAGACCAGGGAGCTTACCCACATGGTGCAGCAGACCTTTCCTTTCTTGCCTGCTGCTACCTTCAGCACTCTGGTCTACAACCCAGTTCTTGTATGTATAAATAAATGAATCTTTAAAATAAACAAAACAAACAAATAAAAAGCTTGTATCTAGAATTTATAAAGAACACTTCAAATCAATACAGCAAGACAAAGAATCCAATTGTTAAAATATAGGCAAAAGAGGGCCTCCCTGGTGGCGCAGCGGTTGAGCGCTGGGTTGCGAAGCTGTCCGCAACCTCTGCAGCACCGGTTCGATCCCCGGCTGCTCCCCGGCCACCGGAGGAGGGTCCCACATGGCGCGCAGACCTCTTCTGCCGCCCGCTGCTCCTCTCAGCAGTGTACTTTGGTCCTTCTGCCTGCTCTGCTCCGCTCCCCGCTCTGGCTCTGGTGAATTCTCTCATCCTCCTGCGCTTCTGACTGTACCCAGTGCTTGTATAAATAAATAAATAAATGTTTTTAAAAAATCATAAAAAAAAAATAGGCAAAAGATTTGAACAAATGGCGCTTATTGCAAATAAGCAAATAAGAAAATGAACATGGGATGATGCTCAACATCATTTATAAATGGGGAAATGCAAATTACAACCACAGTGAGAGTCCACTGCCTATTAGAATGTTCAAAATTAAAAAGACTGACTCTGCCATATCTGGTGAGGATATATAACAGAACTCTAATACACTGCTAGTGAGAATATAAAAATGGTACAAACACTTGGAAAAAGTTTACTATTTCCTAAAAATTTCAACATATATACCATATACCCCATATACATATAACATATAGAAGAGAAGCTGAAGAAGGTCACTTTGGATATGACCACACTTTCCTGTTATAAAACATTATATTGAGTCAATTTTGCCCATTGTTTTCCCTCAGGGACTAGTACTGTGCATTGGTTATAGTTAGTGCTCAGTGAATGTTTGTTGAATGATACATGAGTAAAGATCTTTAAATGTGTTTTCTCCTTAGAGAGAGAGTGGACTGCAAGATGATTTCTGGGGAGTTTATTCTGCCTAATAGTCATGTTGTTTGTAGGTCTGTTTGTGGCACCCATTTTTCATGCTGAAATGTACTGATCTAACTGCACACAGGAAGCCCATGTAATAATAGAATATCTTTTTAAAAGGATAAGAAGGGTTTTGAGAAACTGGTGATGGAATTGACAGGTTTGGAAAAATTTTCTTTGTTCAGTACACATTTTACTTATGTAAAACAAATTTGAACGGCATTACTTTAATGAGGTCTTTATAATGGTTACTGAGTGTGTTTTTGGGTGGTGTCTCAAAATAGTAGTGCTTTGCAGCTTGACACTGAAGAGTCTATTAAAGAAAAAGCAGTTGTGTAACAGATGTGTTTGGTCCTGTATAAATCAATGCCCGTAACAACAGCTTTTATATAAATGGAATCAGATGGCTAACAAGCCATTTTAATGTTCTGTTAGGTTCTTGAAAATGAGGATATCTTCAAGTTTCCATGGCTGAGGCTGTTGAGCAGCAATTCAGGTATGAAAATGAGTACGATTTGACTCCCTCTCTTGTGAAGGAGAATGAAACAAGGGCGTGTGGAGAAAAAAGTAGGGGTAGAGAGAGGCAAGTTAGCTTCAAAGAGATTCATCTGCACCCAGTTCTGTTCTACTCTGCTCTTCTGATCCGTGGGCCTCTGCCCCCTGCAGAATGAATCAGCCTGACGTTTTATCAACTTTTTGAAAAGTGGGGTGAAGTGGTGTGGAACACTTCAGAGGGGTGAAGTCGAGCAAATCTGAAAGCGAGCAGAGTGTTTCATCTCAGATGCTGTGCGTGCTGCCCCCTCCTCCTCCTAGAGCCAGAAACAGTTGAATTGATGACTGCCCAGTACTAATATATTTGAAGTTAAGAAAAAAACCTAGTCGAGGCTGTTACTGTATCATGCACGGTGACCAGTTTCCCTGCTAACCTACCACCCCCTGAGGCCCCAGTGTTTGCTCTGACTTGGACTTTCTGCAAATGACCTTCCTTGGATTTAGTGTCTGACTTTTTAAAATTAATGACTGATTTTATATTTACAAGCTACTGTTTCTTCGAATGTTCCTATGAGTTTTCTAGGGGTTTTTCAGAATTATCAATTAAGTCTGGGTAGAAAAAAATATTATGTCAAGAAGCCTTTCAGGTAACCTTAATAAAAAATGGGAGTGACAGCAAGTGTAAATGCCAGTGAAGCCCTGGGTGCTGATGTGCATGTATCCACAGATCTAAGTGTGTGGTTGAAGGAAATAACCCATAAATCTTGGCTCTCTCGGTACTGTGTTTCTTCGTAAAGTAACTCAGATTTACATGAAAAATATACTGACATTTGGAAAAAAAATTTTAACTTGTTAGTGTTCCATCAAATTGAATTATGTACAGCTAATCGTTATTTTTGGATGCCTTCCAGAGACAGATGGGACCGTGTTCAGAATTCTCACCAAAGCCACAGGACATTCAGATGTGGATATACCCATAGAACTAGTGTTCCATTTACCGGTCAATTACCCTTCCTGTCTACCTGGCCTCTCTATTCATTCTGAACACCTGACCAGGGCCCAGTGTGTGGCTGTGAAAGAGAAGTTACTTGAGCAAGCACAGAACCTTTTGTCGGAACCTATGGTTCATGAGCTGGTTCTCTGGCTCCAGCAGAATCTCAGACACCTCCTCGATCAACCAGAAACTCGAAATGGCAGTGAAAAGTGTGCTTTGGCAACCAACATGACTGAGGATGATGGATTGTGGATAACTCTTTTGCATTTAGATCACATGAGAGCGAAGACTAAATATGTCAGAACTGTGGAGAGGTGGGCTTCCGATTTAAAGCTGACAGGAAGACTGATGTTCATGGGTAAAATAATACTGATTTTACTGCAAGGAGACAGAAACAGCATCAAGGTGCCAAAAAGTTTAATGTTGAATATGAATTTGGTTATTTTCTACTAAAATGGTGTGTCTCTAAGTGTGTTTTATAATAACAGCGGGACAGATTAATCATTAGGATGTTTCTGCTTTCACTATCACCATGTTAATGGATCTTCATTTTCTTTAAGAAATGTTTTTAACTTCATATTACATTTACAAACTTGCAAAGCTTGAGAAATAGGATTATATTTTTAAAATCATGCCACTTAAAGGCGTAGGTTATAAAAACAATCACTCAGTATCTGAGTGTTTGTTTCTATAATTACTTTTGAGCATCAACTTGATGACTGTGCCTACAAGTTGGTACATAATTTATTTTTCTTTCCTTAGTTAGGCACAGCAAGATGTATATTTGTGGGTAGCCTGTAAAAATTTTAACTTTTTAGCAGTTAAAAATACATTCTGACACTTTAATTTAGTATCTACAGTCCTGGAAAGAGGAGCCGGTCCCTCTTAACCAGGACTTAGTGTTAGGAGAATCATTAGGGCTGTCAGCTGTCACCTCCTACCTGACTTTCGCTTTCCACCTGACTTGTCTCAGCAGCTGCTTTCAAAATCATCATCTTTTTCAGATTTTTCAGGTTCTCCTTCTAAACTCATCTAACCTGTTTTATGTGGAACCAGATGAAGAAAACTGGTTATTATATTTTAAATCTTAAAAGAGCTGCAAATCACTTACTGAGTTTTATGCTTTCAGATAGGTTGGGTCAGGAATAATTATAATTGCACTTCTTTAAGATGGATTTAGCTTGTACAACCTATAATCTTATAACGATGGGAAGAATAACAACCCAACTTTTGCACGATGGGCTTTTATCATAACACTAGTTTGGCATTTGGTTCACCAGGTTAGTGCTGGATTCTAGCATATAGATACAACAAATAATTCAAATTTAATACATATCCTAGATTGGATTCTGTCTAAGGAACCACATATTTTAAAGTGATTTATAGTATTTCTGTAAAATTTGATCCTTTTGGGTAAAATACTGACTGATAAAATGAATACAAAATTAATTTCCTTGCTCATATTTCCCCCCAAAGCCTCAGATTTTTCCTTGAGCAGCTATGGTATATTAGGCTAAGTGCAGCTGTTTTGCAGATGTTGTGATCCAGATTGGATCCATCAATTAATTAACACATTTATTCATATGACAGGAACGCTGCTAATGTAAAAAATTGTACTTTTTAAAGAGTTCTTCTTTTTAGCCATTGCTAAATTGTTATTTTATGTAAATATCTGTCACATTTTTCTAAGATTGTGTATCAGGATTGAGAATAACAGGTACATATTTATAGATGCCATCAATTTGGAGTGGTAAGTGCTGCGTGCCTGTTAACTCCATTCAGACACTGAAGTGGTACTAACAACAATGACAGTGGCAGGGACTGCTAAGTGTCCCACATGTGCCAGACACTCATCTAAGTGTTTTGTAGATATTAATTCATTTAATCATCGCCACCCCTCATCAGATAGGTGCTGTTACGAGACCCATTTAATGGAGTAGCTACTGAGCCACAGAGGGCTTAAGACACCAGGTAGGAATGAGGTCTAGTAGGCTGTCCAATTCAGATTTAAACTTGAGTAGTTTGATCATGTTGCTCTTTATTCCTGCATTCACCAGAGCATTATGCTACCAAGTTTGTAAAAACACTGTGTAACTCTCTTACTGCTTGATTCAGAAAGAGAGTACTCTCTAAGCATGCTGGTTTATGACTCCTTTAAAACCAAGACTTTGAGATTCAGAGTAAGATATGTGTTTAACACGCTGATTTATCATTTAGGAGTACCTGATTCTTCAGAAAACCTCCAAAGTAGATGTGGACTCAAGTGGAAAGAAATGCAAAGAGAAAATGATTAGTGTACTGTTTGAAACAAAAGTACAGACAGAACACAAAAGGTATAATTTAGTACTATTGCAGATGGAAAAGCAACTGAATCGATAATTATACTCTGACAAATCTAGGCATATTCATGAGTTTCTCTTGTATAATGCAGGTTTTTGGCATTTGAAGTCAAAGAGTATTCATCGTTGGATGAGTTACAAAAGGAATTTGAAACTGCAGGACTTAAGAAGCTTTTCACCGAATTTGTATTTGGACTGGTAAAATGAAATGGAAGACAAGAATCTTTGCATAAAATAGCGGTGTTTTTGTTGTTGTTTTGCATTGGGTTTTGGGAGTGGCTAATTGCAATACTCAAAAGGGAACAATTTTAAAGTTTCTTTAAAGCAAAATGATAGACATTATTCTAACTTCAGGAACAAAAGCCAATTCTGTTTATGGAATGTAAATAGTAAAAAATGCCTGTGTATTCTAATTTTTGCCAATAAAGGCTCGGTTTAAGAGATGGAACATTATTTGAATGGTGCATATAAAAAGGCGGTTGCAAGTGAACCCTTGTGTTTGTATAGAGGATTTGTTTGGAATGGTGCAATTTTCTGACTAATTTTCTTATAATTAAATGATTTTTAAGAGATTTGTTTTCATGTTTACTGTTTTCATGTTTACATTTTAGCATGTGATCACGATTTTCTCCTATTCAGCTTATTATGTCTAATGTTTTAAGTTGAACATTAAGAAAAATATAACACTGATTTCTTGTTGGAATCACATAAATTGTTAGTTTAAATACAAACCAAGGAAGTTCTATAGAACTTGATTTACAATTGCTTTCTTTGGGGTCCCAAAATAGCACGGAGCTTGCTAGCTATAGGACTAGAGAGTTGGTTTAAAATACAATTCGTTTTTGAAAAATGTGCCTTCTAGTTTTACAAGGGGAGAAATATTTCACACAAAATGAACTTGGCTTGATGGATGGAGGAAATTACATGGACTATTTTTTTATTTCTTATGAAATCTTTTAAGTGTGATAATCCTAAAGTATATTTATTATGACCTAAAGAGGAATAGAAACCGTATAATAAAAGCTTGCATTAAAATGGGTAATAAACATGTAACCAGGCATTCATGTCTGAGAAAGGATATTTGTGTGCATGAAGCTTCTGATATCATGTCTAAAACAAGGCATCGAGAAATGGAGAAAGGCCAAGCAAATCCCTCTCACTGCAATCTATGACGTGCACTGATGTCATGATAAAATCATAATTAGATTGGAGAGAAGTGAGGACATGCTGCCATACTCCAAGTAGCGATTCTTGGCAGCGCTGCACTGTGATCGAGGCAGTTCAACCCTGTTGTTCTCATTTTCTGGCACCGTTGTAAATACCTGTTGATCATTTTAATGGGTTGTATTAATGAGAAGGGATTTCCAGTTATTTGCTCTCAATCCAGGGTATTTACAATTTTTTTCTGGAGAAGTAATGTCGTTAGATTGTTCCACGAGAAGAAGGTATGAAAAAGGGCAGCTTCTCTATTGGCATGCAAAATGGAGAAAATAGACTTGAAAATTATGGGCTGGTAATTATTACCTTGTCATTTGATTTACTGTAGTTTTAGTGAAAATTAGACTAGTGTAAAGGAAGCGGGGAGAATATTGGCCATATGGTAGAGATGGATGTAGGGTGATCATGAGCAATGATATTAAAAGTTATCACCGTGAAGGCTGTAATGGTAGCAGCAGTAGGAGGTTGGATCTGAATTTTATCAGACTAGCAGTCTTTTATTTTACCTTTTCTCTGTTCAAGTGTCTTCCACTAATGCCTTGTAGTACTCTTCCAAACTTTCAGCTTCAAATTAGATTTTCTATCCTTGGAAAAGAGCTTGTATCAGGTAAAACTGAATGTTAGTAGTGACTATTCTTCAATCTAATTTTCTATCTGTTAAAATTATAAAGTGTTGGCTATTGCTGCTTTTTTGGGTGTTTGCATCTAAGTCATGAATATATAACAACAGAATGCAAAACTAAACCTCAGCAGTCTTAGAGATTTAATAACTTTAATTGAACCTCTGGATAAAAGAAAGTTTAAAATTACATGTCCTAAGGTCCTAAAAATACGTAAGGAGATCAAATATGAAAAGCTGAATATTGAACATATAAGTGTTGTGAGGGGTGTTCCAGTGCCAGAAAGTTAAAAATATTATAAAATTCCTTTTTAATTACCCTTTGCCTGTTGAATAGTATTTGGTCATATGTTTCTTTTGTTTCATATATTAATTTTGTTCTCTGTCTCATAATTGAACATTCAGCTGAGTAAACTGAATATGACAGAAATTATATTTATCTTTCCTAGCATGCCAATGTTCTCCATTCTCCACAATTAGTGCTGACTTTATGAGACTTGCTTGTTAGCATAATTTTTGACCCCTTAATTTGCTGGTTTTTTTCCATTTATTTTTATACAAAGAAAAATTACACTCAACTGATTGTTAAAATACAGCAATAAGATGAAGATCCTGTTCAAATTTTGTAATTGTTACATGATAGGCTGATTTATTAGTTGATACAATAGGGAATGCAGACTGGTCCAGCCTCTGTGGAAAAGTGTGGAGGTTTCTCAAAACATTAAAAATAGATCTACCATGTGATCTGGAAATCCCTCTCCTAAGTACCTACCTGAAAAATACAAAAACAGTAGTTCAAAGGGATATATGTTCTCCTATATTCGTTGCAGCACTTTTTGCAATAGCCAACTTATGGAAGCAGCCTAAGTGCCTGGAGACAGAATAAAGGAAATGCGTTATAATACTCAGTTATTAGAAAAATATATAAAATATGGCCATTTGTGACAGCATGGACACCACTGGAGGGGATCATGCTAAGTGAGGTAAGTTGAAAGAGAAAGACAAATATTGGGTCAGTTCACTCATATGTAGAATAAAAAGAAAGAAAGCAAAAGAATAGAAAAAAAAAACAAACCCATTTAGACCCTTGACTCTGACTACTGATCTGAGGCTATCAGAAGGGGATGGGGTGGGGGAGGGAGCAAAAGTAGGAGGAGGCCCAATGGACTATGGTAGTGGATTAGTGGGACTTGGGTGTTGAGTGACTTGATCACATATATTTGTAGAGGTGGGACCCTACCCCATAAAACATAAAATGCTATAAACTAATATTACCTGAATGAACATAATAAAAATAGTGTTTGCTGTTAATAAGCTACATAACACATTAATTTGAAATAAAAAAATTAAAAATAACAATTCCTCCATTTTACAAAAAACAGACAAAAATGTCTAAAAGTTGCAAAACTGCAAAGGATAGGGACACATTTCAAGAACTGAAAATAGTTGGGGAACAGAATCTTAGTTTTTGATCCGTTGTCATTTCAACTAATTTATGCTTCAATCAGTTTGTTTCCACCATTTGGCTTTTGACTAGATAGCTTTTCCCAAATAACCTGGGTTATAGGTTTTGATTTCTTCAGATCACCTGAAGTTATGTTGTTTTAATTCTCTTGTATTAATTAGGGTTTCCACAGAAACAAAGCCAACACCATATAAATTTATTTATTTTAAGGAATCAGCTTAGGTGATTATGGAGACCAGCAAATCTAATATTGGCAAAATGAGTTAATAAGCTGAAGACAGGAAGAGCTGATGTTCAAATCCAAGAATGTCAGGCTTGAGACCCAGGAAGGAGTTAATGTTGCAGTTGAAGTCTGAAGATTACCTGCTGGCAGAATCCCCTCCTGCTCTTGGAGGTCAGTCTTTGTTCTATTATCTTCAATTGGTGGGAAAAGGTTCATCCACATTATGGCAGGCAATCTTTTAAGTCCACCAATTTAAATGTAAATTTCACCCCAAAACGCCCTCTCCCTAAACATCCAGAATAATGTTTAATCAAATATCTGGGTAATGTAGTCCCACTAAATTGACTCAAAATTAGCCATCACACCTTTGGATTAATGTCCAATCTGTAACTTTGCTTTCAGAGGTGAGAATGTGGCTTTCGGTTCATACCCGCTTAACTCATTGCTATTGTTTCCTGTCATGTTTTGACTGCTACCAACATTAAACACAGATTTGAAAAAGACCCCAGGCAGCCTCTTTTTCAGTTCTTGCCTTTGGCCAGAAAAGAATTCAATGTGGAGACCAAAGTTACAGAAAAGCAAGAGATTTATTGATAGGTGGGAATATTGACTGGAAAACTCTCTGATCAGAGAGGTGTCAAGAAGCAGGTGCTTATATAGTTACGGTGGGCAAGGAGTGGGGGTTTGGCCTTTGGGTGTCTCCTTGTTGTGTCCCTTGCTGATTGGCTGGATCCTAGGGGGTCTTCTAGACTACTGAGGCCCACTGAATTTCCCCCTGTTACCCAGCCTACTTTTCTGAAACTGGCTTAGGTCTGTGCTATTATGTTGGTGTTCTGAGCATTCTGTTTTTAACTGAATTGGGGTGGAGAGGGACTTCCTGGTCTGCAATTGTTTCTGTCAGCCTGTTTGGGGTACCCTAATCCTAACTGATTTCCTATACCCACTTCTAACTTCTTCCTTCAACAAATTTTATTTTATATTATCTGTACATTTTCTTTGGTAGTGTGAAACAAGTAATTCCCTAGAAATAAAATATTTTGGAAGCTAAATCTGATAGTTAACATGTACAAAGAAGGTGGTGTTGTCCATAGTGCTGGCTCTGTGGGAAAACTTGAGCCACTTCTGTGCTGGTGGACCAGTGTGAAGGGTTTTCCTTTTTTATCCTATCAAGACCCAATTTGGTGTTTTGTGTCATGATTAGGGTTTTGATTAGATTAGGGTTTTGATTTGATTGTGTCATGATTAGGGTTTCTGCTGCAGTGGACTTCCGGATGTCCTGAGCCGGTGACGATGCAAGTCTCAGGACCTAAAGTAGCACATTTTCCCTAGCCCACTCACAGGCCAGTGTGCTACTGGGAGGCCCTTGCTGAGACCAGTGGGTGGGTGACCTAACGCAGCTCTTTGGAGCTGGGGAGATAGTGTGCTCAGTTGCATGGAGCCACAATAGTAGAAGAGCATGACTACTCCCACCTTGTCCCTTGGGCTCACTTCAGTGTCCCCTGGGCTCACCTGGGGGAGGGCGGATGTTCTTGAATACCACCCCTGCTGTGTCCTCCAAGCTCCCTCAGGTGGCTTCCACTTAATGCCAGGCTCTTCATATTATTTCTCTCTCTCTCTCACACACACACCCAGTCTCTCTCTCTTTCACATTCTCTCTCTCTCTCTCTCTCAAGTCTCTTTAACCTCTATCTCAGGGAATATTATGTCCTCTGGAGAGAGAAAAGCTAGTGGGAGTGGAGATCAAAAGGTGTTTACCTTATTCCTATTCTAACCTTCTTTCTCAGTAGTTTCTTAGTAATTTTTGCCCAAGTACATTGCTATCAAGAATAAGAATTGCATTTTGCAGCTTTCCTTTAAGCTACTTGTGGCCATAGGCCTCAATTCTGGGTAAATGGAAGTGCTATTTGCGGTTTCTGGGGAGGCTGTTGAAAGCTTATGGGGAGCTGTCACCTTTTGGGTCCCCCCCTCCACCTCCCGGGATGTGGGCATAACGGTGAAGCTCCAATGACAGTTTAGGATTAGGAGGTCAGTTTAAGGGTGA